GGGGGGGGAGAAAAGTTGCGTCAACCTGCCTGGAGCTTCGCGTTCGCAAACGCGAGGCCTTGAAAATGGTAATTATGATTAACTGCTCGTATGACCTACGAACTAAAAATCACTAGCTATACAGTACCGCACTCAATACAAGAACAACAATAAATGTCACTATTAACACTACCGTACGATAGATGTAGAGACACAATGGAGACCAACTCTGTATTTAGAAGTAGGATGCAAAGTTCCGTTTAAGGGTAGTACCTTAAGCTCTTTGAAGAATAGTAATTTAAGCCGTTTGAAGAATAGTAACTTAAATGTCCGGCGAATTAAAATATTGTAACTTCTGTATTACTGTGCTCTTGGGTTTATTTGGTTATTTCCCCCTTTGTGTTCTTTTTTCTGGTTTTGTTTTGCTGGGGTATTTTCTTTTGGGGGTGGGGGTTCGGGGGTATCGTCAAGTTGAGTTGTCTCAGGTCTTCTTATGACTCGCCACTTTTCTGATTGTGGAGCTAAAAGTGAGACACAACCACAAAGTACAGCGTGACCTTGATCTGGTGCTGTAACAGAGACAGATAGATGTGTGACATCGGAAATCACATCTCTTATACCCAGTGCACACTGACAATCGAAATCCTCAGTCGAATCAAGTCAGGGCCAGCCAGATTTTTTCCTCCATTGGGGGCCAAAAGCTAAAATTTTGGCAAAAATAAAAATCAAACTAGAGTGTGAGTGTGTGTGTGTGGGGGGGGGGGTCTATCAAAATTTGTCAAAATGGCAGCTTTTGCCCCTCCATGAAGGAAATTTCTAGCCAGTCCTGACAGCATCAAATGAATCAGAGGTATCAAACAGGCACCGTGCGCTGCGGTTATTAAAACAACCGCAATGTGTTTTTAAAGGGCGCTAAACCATCACAATGCCGCACGTTACAAATGTCAGAAAACAGAAGCCACGCGCACGTCTTAGTAATAGTATAATAATCCCGGCGTCTGTGCAGTGGGTGGCCGGCTAGGTTCCCGATTATTGAAGATAGAAATCGTAGGAATCGACTCCGAACCAAATTATTTTCTTTCTAATGATGTGATTTCTTCCGGTGGTTACCTGGTTGGCTCCGAACATCTTCAGGATTTAGGATAACATTGATTTCGGAACACTACGAAGCTTCAACTTTTTATTTTTCAAAAATAAATTATAAAAAATTTAAAAAAAGATTTCAAAAGACCAAAGTAACTGTTAACCGTTGGTTTACTTTTTAAAAAAGAAGTCAGGATTTTCTTCTAAAGAATGAATCGTGAGAATCGGTTCCGGAATTGATTCTTCACCCAGCTCTAGAACAGACGCTGTTGGGGTACGGCGGGGCTGACGTGAGGGGACTTGGGAGCGGAAACTGGGTGGACGGGTCGATACCTGACTGTCAACAGAGCAGTTGGGGTTCAGGGGGGAAATCAAACAGCAGACGCAACGGCGGTCCGGGCAGCCCGTGGTGATAACTGATAACGTATGGTGAATGGTGGTTGGGGGAGG